ATGATTATATATTTACAGGTAAAGTTTTGGGTTTACAGATGCTTCTGGTGTCACAGTAACAAATGACTTTTGTACTAGTGTCTCTGTTTTCTGTTTATAATAATATACTGATACTGAGCTTTGATGGCGGCTCAGAGTCTGAGAACTATTGCTGCTCTATGAAGAAACTTGCAGGTCTATAAAAAATGTCTTTTACTTGGACATTAGCTAAAGATGACATTAAGCAATCTTGGATTGATATTGACAGGCCTGCTTTATTCCTTATCTAGTTAATTCTGCAGCATGCTAGCTTCTGTTGGTGCTGACACTCATTCTGCTGTGTGTTGGAGTAAGGGAAGTCTAGTCATCATTAGCAGTGTCATCACATCACATCAGTAGCAGTGTCGGGGAGGAGGTGGGACAACTACTGGCAGCCAGTCTTAAGTTGGCTTGAGCCTGTCATGAAGCTACATGTTTGGTTTAATAGGATGTCCCAAAGACATCACTTTACAGGAGACAAAAGTATAGAAATAATCTATTACACTGATATGAAATAGTATTTTAAGTTGGAAGAAACCTCCAGAGGGTATCTAGCTCAACTCTTGACTCAAAGCCAGACTAACAACAGAATAGATAAGGTTGCTCAAAGCCTTGTCCAGTTAAATCCTGAACATCTCCAGGGCTGAGTTTCTGCTTCCTCTATGTGCAATGGTTCCAGTGCTTAACCTCTTCCATGGGCATAGGTGCCCTTTTACATGTCTCTGAAACTGCCTGTGCTGCAGCTTCTCAATTGCCTCACTTCTTTTTGCTGTGTACCTCTGAGAGTTTGCTTCTGTCTGCAGCTGTCTCAAGTGGGTTTTATGGAGAGGACAGCAACTGGACACACACCTCACCTCACCAGCACACAGCCCCACCCCATGCACCAGTAGTCTTTCCAGGATTAAAAAGGCCAGTTCTGTGTAGCTTTCCTTGTATGCCTTGTGCACCAGCCCTCTAATCAACTAAGATCTTCCACTGGTTTTTGTCTAGTTTATCAATATCTCATTTACTGGATGCTTGAGGAGGGGTGAACAGTACATAGTACTCACATCCAGCATTATGAATGCTGGCTGCTGGGGAGTAACAGCTTCTTTGACTTGTTGTAACTTGTTGACTGCAGTTTTGCCAGTGCAGCAGTGGTAACTGTTGGCCAGGGTTTCTCCAGGCTAAACAGCCCAAATGCCCACAGAGCTATGTGGTCGCTCTCCTTTCCCTAAGGATAAGGAGAAAACAGAAGGAAGCAAAAAGACTTGTGGATCAAGATTATGATGTTTTAATAGGAAAAGCAAAAGCTCACACACGCAAGCAAAGAGAAGAATTAATTCTCTGCCTCTTGATGGGAGGCAGGTGTTTGGCCACCTCCTGGAAAGCAGGGCCTCAGCATGTGTGGGTCGCATCACAGAATCATTTAAGTTGGAAAAGGCCTTTAAGATCATCAAGTCCAATTGTTAGCCCAAGACTGGCAAGTCCACCACTAAACCGTGTCCTTGAGCGCCATGTTTACATGTCTTTTAAATACATCCAGGGATGGTAACTCAATCACTTCCCCGAGAAGCCTGTTCCAGTGCTTGCAGTGAAGAAATTTTTCATGATGTTCAGTCTAGACCTCCCTTGGTGCAACTTGAGGCAATTTCCTCTTGTCCTATCACTTGTTACATGGGAGAAGAGACTTGACACCCACCTCACTACAACCTTCTTTCAGGTAGTTGTAGAGAATGGTAAGGTCTCCCATTAGCCTCCTTTTCTCCAGACTAAACAACCCCAGTTCCCTCAGCCACTCATTGTAAGACTTGGGTACTCTAGTGCTTCAGACCCTTCATAATTAACCTTCCAAAGGTTATAACAAACATCACAACCAGAAATGTCCCCTTTCCTCCTTTCCATGAACTTCTACTGCCGAGCATGGCATGATGTGGTATGGAATATCCCTTTGGTCAACTTGGGCCAATTGTCTCATCCTCTTGTCTACCCTCAGCCTACTCGCTAGGGGTGGGGACAGGGTGGAAAAGAGAAAAAGCCTTGATGCTGTGCATGCACTTTTCAGCAATAGCAACACTAGTGTCTTCCCAGCACTGGTTTAGCCACAAATCCAAAGTACCAAACCATATGTGTTGCTGTGAAGAAAGTTAACTCCATCCCAGAGCAGCAGCCCTGTATGTGGTTGACCTTCATTGCCACGAGGGCTCACTACTTCCTCTTCAGCTTGTTGGATCCCCAGATTTGTTTTCTGCAGGGTTGTTCCCTAACTTAGCCCAAAGTCTGTACTGTTGCATGGGTTATTCTGTGACACTTGCAGGACCTCACATTTGTTTCTTCTCACTGTCATGAGAGTGTCAGCTCAGTTCTCTAGGTTGTTGAGGACCCTCTATTCTCCAACACTGTCACCAGTTCCTGGCCTCCCAGGCTGATATCACCTTCAGACTTGATGTGGGTGCATGCCGTCCTGGGTTTCAGAACATTGATGAAGATGTTAAACTCTAATAGCCCAGTGTAGTCTCCTGAAGATTGCCTCTTCTGAGTTGCTTCCAGTTAGGTTTTAAACCGTTGACCACAAGCCTTTAAGTCTGGCTGTCTAGGCAGATTTTCAGGCAGCCTGAAGTTGACATCTAATTTGGTGCAAGGATGCTATGGGAGGTGGCATTGAAAGCCTTACTAGAGTCAAAGTAAATCACATCTATTGGTGTCCTCCATCCCCCAAACCAGCTGTTTCCTCACAAAAAGTTACCAAGTTAGGTGCAATTTGCACTTGGTAAAGCCATCCTGGCAATTCCCAGTCATGCCTGAAATTGCTTCCAAGAGTATTTGCTGTATAGTTAGTCTGAGGATTGAGATGAGGCTGACTCTCTCATAATGCTTCAGATTCCCCTTCTTGACCCTTTTTTGAAGATGAATAAATACAGCCTTTATCAGTGGCTTCCTATGGTCACAGTGACCTCTAAAGAAGAGGGTTTTTTAATTATATTGCACTTGGACAGCCAGTGATCTGTTTGCATTAGAAACACCGTAGACCCTGAAGATTATACTCACTTCTGCAAAACCATGTTGAGAAAGAGGAAATGTAGGAGGGAGGATACATACAGCAGAAGTCACACACAAACTGGGAGTATGCTGTTTAAAGGAATTAGATCACACCTCTAAGAGTTCCATATTTTTTTCAGAGAAAGAAGCAGACTAAAGTAAGTGGAGGTAAACTAAGGTGGTTGAGGCAGCAAAAAACACAATTTTTTTTTGTATCTGCTGATAGACATGCTAATTGTTTTTGTAAGCTTCATATTTTAACATAGTATCCCTTTTTTTTTTATCACTTTTTTTAAAACATTGAGAAGGGTATTAGCACATTGGCAAACCTCATGCAATCTGTTCCAACAAAAAAAGGAGTCTGTCTGTGTTGGTTCATTCTTGCGAGGGCCAAAAAGATGGTTACAAGGACTAGAACTGTGAAGAGTTTGAAGATGCTTATTTGCAATACTGAAGACCATTAATACAGTTTGAACAATTTATAAAGGAGGTTTTTGGTTAGGTGTTGATTTAAAAGATACTTTGCTGTATCGAGCTTTAGACCCCTTTGAAGTTGAACAACTGGCATAAGTTTACATTAGAAACACCGAGTGACTGTGTAAAGAATATGCTCACTTATGTAAAAAGACAAGCAAGACTTTTTAGAACTATATGATTTGTTCTTACAATGCCTTGGTTTTGACTCAAGACACATTTTGATATAAAAAATTAATTTTTAGCTAATGTACTTTTAAATACTGAAGTTTTTTATGTTGGTTATGTATTTGAAGTATGGAAACTAAACGTACTTTCAAAGATCACTGAAAGTCTAATCAGTTTTCACACGTTTATTTTTCAGGAGCTGGTGAATCAGGGAAAAGCACAATTGTCAAACAAATGAAGTAAGTATGGTGAAATACTATCCTAGAGAAATATTTTGTTTATTTGAATAGAGAATTTATGTTTTTTCTCCTTTCATAGGATTATCCATGAAGCTGGTTATTCAGAAGAAGAATGTAAACAGTACAAAGCTGTTGTCTACAGTAACACCATTCAGTCCATTATTGCTATCATTAGAGCGATGGGGAGGTTGAAGATAGACTTTGGTGATCCAGGCAGGGCTGTAAGTATTGAAGTACACACACAGATACACAGTTGAAATATCCATTCATTTTCAATTTTTGTCTGTTACTATTTCCTGAAAGTCTCCAGATGTCCAGAAATCTTCCTTATAGGCTAAAAAGTTTAATTGAAAACTAAATGTCATTGGTCTTTACATGGCAAGGTGACCCACACAGCAGTCAGCACTGGGCTGATTCACAGTAACTGTTTCTTTAGATAGAATTCTCCAATTCTACCTAAATTTGGAGAACTAAATATCTGAGTCTTAGGGAGGTTTTGAAAAACATTAAACTATGCACTTTTGTCTCTTTACTTGTATGGACTTGCGGGCTGTTACGTACTATAAGTCATTTCAGTTAGACATCTGCATGTTTAAAAACAGTTTAAATAGGTAGGCATCTACCTGCTGTCTGCACTTCACTATTAGATGGTAGGCACAGCAATGCCTAAAACATTTCCAGCCTCTGAGATTGATCCTGTTTCATACTAATCTCCATTGTGGAGGACTTTATTTTACATGGGCATAGCCCTGCTGCTGGTATCCCATTTTTCACATCATGTGGATTAAGGATTTCCCTCAAGGTATAGACCTTTTCTGCACCTTTTCCATCTCATTTCATCTAATGTCCCACCTACAAAGCTCTGATGGGTCTGTTTGCCATTCCACCTATTAAAGCTGGTCTGCAGAATTGATTCTTTTGGTTTATTGTTTCTCCAGTCCTAACCCTATAATATTACCTCTGGTGACCCTGATTATGTCTGCTCAGGAGGTTAGATGCTCTGAATCTCTGTAAAATGCTGAGCTTAAGTGGTTTTGCTTATCCTCTGGCTACAGGAGTACACTCTGGTGCAGTGCTGAAATTGATCATCAAAGCTGTTAGACTGAGTAACACTGAAACTTAGTTCAGAATGTGTACTTTCATTTTATTTCCATAGAAAATAATGTCAGAATACAGAAAGCTCACCAGTATCCTTTTTGAAGCAGGAACTAGCTTAGCTCTAGTATACCAGCGTGTATCTTCAGTGACCTTGTGAAATGTGTTATGTATAGTTGTCAAAGGAATACAAACATTCATCAGTTTACATAGAGTGGGTCATAAACTTGTATCTGAAGTCTAAATCTAATAGGCAGTTGTGGATTACTAGTTAATTTTCATTATGCTCTTTGATAGTCACTATTTTATGTGCAGATGTTAATTCTGTCTGACACCTCTTTAATTATAAGCACAACTAGTAGAAGCTTTGTTTTCACTGGTTATTCCTTTCTACATTTATTCTCGTGTTTGCTGGTGTCTTTCCTTAAGACTAAAGTTTTCCAGGGCAACAACAGTATCTTATTGCATGTTAGTTCGGTATTTGCGCAATGGAGTCCTCTCGGGAGTCTGGCAGTTAATGTTGGAAAGAGGCAGATGGTAGACTCGTGTTACTAAATACATAGAAAGAGAAAACGGAGGAGGAGTAAATTTAGGTGTTAGCAGATAAAATGACTAACAAGATTTTGAGGGCTATTTTATGCATGATATCAATTTGAAGTCATCTTGAGTTTCTCGACTTCAGAGAGCTATGTAAATGATGAGGCAAACTTGTCAGGGATAATCTTAAAATAGCTGTCCATCCGTTTGCACTTAGGCAGGTCTTGGTGGTCCACATTCTTTTTTCAGAGCAACGCTGCTGTGGAACGTCAATTGTAGCGTCAGAAATGGAAAAAGGAATTCAGACCATCAGTTGTACATCAGTCTCACTTATAGAAAATAAAGTATGCATACTCCTTGATTATTATAATGTGGCTTTTTAAATGTTATTCTATTTTGTTGTAATTTCTTCCTTTTTTTTTTGAGGGAAAAGAAACAAACAAACTCAAAATTGCAATTCCTGATGAAAACTCTTATGTTCAGACTTTTTTCCTTACATTTCTGAGGGGTTTATTCTAAGTGGCCTGCGTTTATTTGGAAAAATCGTACACTCATTTCTGTCATAAGACTGAGGGTAAAGCAGAGTTTAACATTTTCTTTTTTTAAAGCTCTTGAATCAACAGACCATGGATTACACCAGCAGCTTCAGTCTGTCTCAAGACTGTTGTATTTTCCTTTGTCCTACAGGATGTTTCAATACTAAAGTAGAAACTGTTTTGAGAGACATTTACTGAATGTACTTTAAAGGACTATAGACCATTTTCTAAATGTGAAATTTGCTGTAATTATCTGGAGAGATGGCTAAATCAGTTTCTTCATCTCATTTGAAATCTTTATCTCATTTGAAATCAAATTGAAATCTGAAATAAAAATCATGATATGCAGGGAAAAAGCTATCCCATTCCAGTATAATTAGAGGAAAGTATCTAGCATTCATTAATAATGAAAATTTGCATACTAACTTGTGTTGTCTGTAGTACTGGTCATACTTGGAAAGGGGTAACAGAGACCACTTTGTATATTAATGTTTGGGCTTAAATTTATTTTCTTGTTCCACCAGCACCCCTCAGCTCTCTCACCCCATCCCATTTTAGAGCTATTTGAAACAGAGTAAATTTGGAGTGTTTGAAAAGTCAGACCATGTTAGATATAAAATGGCATAATCATTAATGACAAAACTGACTCTTAGTTTCTAAGCTGTTTCCATCATGTATCTTAATATATTGGCTCTTCTTCAAGATCTGCTGCATTCTGTGAGTTGTAGGTCCTTGGTATTTGCATCCACAAACAAGACTCGAGACCAGAATTGTCATTCAAGTTTCTAGAGTGCAGGCATATTGCTCACATGACAGTCTGTGAGATCTGACTATCCAGCCCTTTGGTCTTTACTGCTCTGGGCTTCTTAAATGTAATGATTAGTGCAACCCGCTATCTGTCCTGTGCATGCACAGTGATCAGTATTCTGTTAATTTGTTTGACAAATGCTTAGTTTTGGATGTGTAGCTACTCTAGCTTTCAAAATACTTTTTCAACTATATTATAGAATCATAGAATAGTTAGGGTTGGAAAGAATTATAGAATGATATATATCAGATACCTGCTGTTGATATGTATAGCTACATATGTATATATGTATATACATAAAAATCTCTTCAAGTTTGCCTTGAGTTGACTGAACTGTATGCAAGCTTTTTGTTTCAAGCTATGAATATCAGTATTACTGAATCCATCTGTAAACAATTTCCCTCTCCTGATCTTTGATTATTTTTTACAGCAGACAGTATCTTGAGAACAGTCACTACTTCCTGTGCTTAGCCTGAAATGTTTGGTTTGGTTTTCCCCCACAGCTTATTGTCTGAACAGCAAAAGTGACAGAACTGGATTTTTCTACAAATAGCATCCATATATTAACTTAACTGTTTATGAGAATAACCTTATATGTTGCTTTATAAAATCCTTCTCTTTACTGAAACGCTTTCAGTTCCCAGCTGATGTGCCCAAGTTTCTCTTTTCTCCTTTCCAGTATTGTCTGTTTTCATAATCATTGGACAAACAGTACATGCTGTGGGTAGTAGTTACAAGCCACAAATATGCTGATTTTTCTGGCTGACATAACTTAGCATTAGATCATGTAGGGCTAATAACCAAGGTCAGGCAGCTACCAACAGTGAAGTACTAATGTGTATGGATCTCTTTTCTCTACCACCTGCTATCTTCTTCTTTCCAGTGCCTTACAAGGGCTAACATTTTAAAGATTCTTACCTCACTCAGAATTGAATGAAGGTAGCCAATCAGTCAAATTCTGTTAAAGGAGACTGGTGGATGGGCATCCTGTACTCCATTAACCTTATTCTCAAAGGCAGTCCTTACATGTAGTCTTCAAATCCAGCATTACTCTTTCAGGAATCTTAATGTTTGCTTGATTACTGGGAAAACTTGGTCTCTGTGGAACAATTAAGGTAATGGATATTTGTAACTGATCTATCTAGAAAGGTTTTTAAAAATAATTTTCCATTTCCTGATGCAGGATTTGGTAAAAAATGATCATTTGTTACTTTCAGACAAAGTTGGTTTTTGAAGCTTAAGTGATTAATGTGTTTTCTTCAGTCAGTCAATGTATATCTGCATTATTGAAGGTTCTAGTATGCATTGTAACAATTCTGTTCAGTTTGTGGTATTTGGTAAGCAAATAAGGTTACTTTAGACTTGAGCACAATATGTTATTACTTCTGTTTATAAAAGTTATAAACTGATCAGAATATCAGCTAACGAGAAATTTAATTTACTAGTCTTTTTCTCTTGTTGAAAAATGTGGGAATTAATATCCTATGCAGAACACTAAGCCCGGTTGTTTTCCTTCAATTTTTTTTGTTCGGTTAGACTCACATTTACCACGTTAAGACAGTAATTAATGTGCTGAATGTATTTCTTAGGTGATAATACTTCTGTTGTATTTCTCAATGTTCATGTCTCCACTTTGTGTTTACATCCTAAAGGATGATGCTCGCCAACTTTTTGTGTTAGCTGGAGCAGCAGAAGAAGGATTTATGACTTCAGAGCTTGCTGGAGTTATCAAGAGACTGTGGAAAGACAGTGGAGTTCAAGCTTGCTTCAACAGATCTAGAGAATACCAGCTTAATGACTCTGCTGCCTAGTAAGTACTATGTGACAAACAAGAGTCTCTTCATCTTATAAGTAGTAGCTAAAGGAAGTGTCATCTTTTGAGGAATTCTGCTCCCATATAAATAGAAAACTTGGAAGTACCTGAACAAAGATACTGCCTACTTAGGTCAAAATGCTCCAAATAATCTTCAAGCTTGGAAAGGAAGAGATGTGGTATAATTATCAATGAGTCATGACCTGACCAGTTGTTTCTTCTTCTTGAGGAAGACAAAAATAACTTTCATGGCATTTTTATTACAAAAACATGACTACTTGTTTGGTATCTGAACATGTTCAGGAAACTTGTGTGATGTGATTTTGTATTACTGAGGATACTACTGTCATGTTCATAGTAGTTTCTTCTGTGGCTCAATGTTGCTGCATTTTCTTTGTTAATTAACAGTCTGTTAAAAACATGTTGAGCAAAGGCAACAATCAGGATGTCTTCTATGCTAGGGTACTTCACTGGAAAAGGAAAATAGTAAGGAATCAAGGGTGTGAGAAATAATGTGTGATGGCAGCAAGTAATGGTAAGTCAGTCAAGGAAAAGTGTCCACTGAAAGAGTGATAAGAGGGTAAATAACAATATAGCAGTGATACTGGTCTCATAGGGTAATTTTTTTAAAGCTTTATCGTTCAGAATTAATTTGTAGTGTTTGAAGTTGATTTTCACTTTCCTTAAAATGAGGTACTTCTGTTCTTTAGAATTACATAAACAAAAAACATGCAGCTGTGGTAACTGAGAAGACTACAGCTGGAGTTATGTAGTTATAGGCATGCTGAATGAATAGAAATATGATCAAATTGTACTGAAATAACACTGATACTTACAGCATGACTGTTACTTGTTTGCTGAAGTTCTAAGGGTACAGAGGGTAGATGGAACCAAGATGAGCTCACGATGACAGATCTCTTTGACTTAAGAGATACCATTTGCACAAACTTTCTTCAGTGTGGATCACTTTTGTCTGGTAACCTCCTTGGTTCTATTTTGTTGTTTTAGATAACTCTGCCTCCAATTTCATAAGACTGTTCTTCCAGCCATACAGTTGTATCCTTAAAATTCCAAACTTCCGGTTACAATGAAAGAACATCATAATGCTTTCCCTATTTACTATGGAAAAAGCACAAATAAGATTTATATGGCTTTTAGAAATGCTGGGCTGCTTAGCCTGCTTTGCAGGAATATTGGTAATGAAAGTATGCTGTTGTAGAAGAAGTGTGCAATTAGAAATTCTCCATAGAAATTTAATTGTTATGTGTTAAACATTTGCTTAAACACATTAACTCTAGCTAAAACACTGAGTTATTCTTTTCATACTTGTTATCAAATCCAGGGTAATTTTGGGCTTTGGTTTTTCAAAGTAACTTGTAGTTCATTATGTTGTAAAGAGGAAGGTGTTCTTCCAGTGAGTGCAAATAACACTGGTGCACACAGAACCTTGTTTGCACTTTGGGATTTCAGAAGAAGAATTCTTTGTAGTGGAATTAGTTGGATATGTTTTCTTTCTTCTGAATGAAGTATCTTGTGCCTCTAAAGCTTATTTCAAAAAACCTTGGAAAATTCAGGGCAATTATGCGTCTTGTTTTTTGCCTTACCTCAGAGAAAGCTATTTTATAAAGTAAGTCAAGCACAATATAATGAAGTGACCTAGACCTTCTTTGTGATTATGTTACTATTTTATGATTAACTGAAAGCAGTATTTATTTTTACCTTCAGTTACTTGAATGACTTGGACAGGATAGCACAAACCAGCTACATTCCAACCCAACAGGATGTTCTCAGGACTAGAGTGAAAACTACAGGAATAGTGGAAACTCACTTTACTTTCAAAGATCTTCATTTTAAGTATGTAAATCATGCTGCATGTTCATGTCTGTTTCTGTAAAGTACAATGATGTAATTTAACATAAATGTCTAACCACAACTTTGACACCTCCCATCATTTTTTTTCCTATGAAAAAAATTCCACACACTTGGCTGAATTTTCCAAAGGGATGTGGGGAGTCATTGGAACTCCTGTAATAACTCAGAAATAAATATGCAAATATTAATTAATGAATACTTTGGGTTTATTGGAAGCTTTTTGTAAAGATATTTTATATATAAATTAAATCTCAAAATGCTTAATTTTTTGCAACGTTAAGTAGCTGTTTGTCTATCAGATTCTTCTCTTTAAATTCAGTTGGAGGGCCAGAGGCTTATGAACATTTGGTGGTGGTGTATGAAAAAGTAAATACATTTTCCTGGAGAACTTAATTAAAGTATGTGTTGTACTTTAAGGTAGTTCTTTATTTAGTACTTTATGACTTATGTTTCCTGTTGTGTGGGATTGACAAAATAATGCTAATATTCTGAACAATTCATGTCCAAAGACATTCATGATGAAAGCATAGGGTAGTATAATGGCTGATCAGGAAGAATGGGCAGAAAACTCAGTAAAACTTGCATTACATCTGCATTTAAATTGTGCAGAGATTGTTGTCGTATCTGTACAATATATTTGTTTAGTATCTTAATGGGAAGTATGTTTGGCTTTTTTTCATGTAAATGCATAGTGAGTACTGTAATGTGGATGCTTCAGGGACATCAGGACTGTAGAAATATATTTTGTTTCCTTGTTTGAGGGTTTAAGTATACAAAATTCATGTTAAACCATAAAATAATAGCTGTTAAATGGGAATGAACCTCTTGCAAACCTAAGAGTAGTCCTTAGCCAAGCCTCAAAAAAGGTCTTCAGTATTCTGAAGAGTTATCAATTTTCTCACTCACTTTCTAATGTTTCTTGTTCAGTCCCTGTTGTAGATGGATTTAAATTCTTCTGCAGTCAATGAATTTGTATGCAGATGGCTACTTCCAGTCTGTACTTATTTTTGGGACTCTTAAAAACATTACAGTCCTATAAAGTCTATTACAAGGACCATACGATTACACTTCTGTAAAGTGCGTAAATTTTAAGACAGGCCTTTGGAAGTATTTAGCTGTCACGTAAAACACCTGTACAGCAGGTGTTTAAATTTTAGGTGCTTTAGGAGATAGTGATAACTTAGAGTTATTGGAAGGGCTTGAAGTATACTCTTCCATAACATTGAAAAGAACTTTTAAGGTGAACTAAAGGCATAAAAGGCTTGATTGTACCAAGATGAGGGTAAGCAACTAGCTGTGCAATATCATGTACTTCAGTTGGTTTTCATTATCTTTCCTGTTTTGCTGTGTGCATGTAGATTCTTTGAGGTTGAGCCTCATTTCTGCCTTCTCTATAAAGCACTTAGCCTAGCTTTGATTATTGATTCAATCTCAAATGCAAATAGCAAGTCATCTTCATTATGTTTTATATAGATTATTTCAGAAATTGAGACTGATTATTTACTGCTTTTGCCTTCAAAGAACACCTTGTTTTGTAGAAATGTTCTTCTAATAAACTAACCATTTTTTATGGAAATTCAGCTCTTAATACAAAACTATAAAACATTAGCATTAGAATTACTAGAGGTAACAACTAAAATTTAAGATATTAATTTTTAAGGTATACAAGTACAAAATATCTTCCTTTGGGTACAGCCATCACTAATTATTTGAGAACTAATTAGGAGTAGGTGGCTGACTTGAATTTATATAGGGTGATATCCAGAGACTTCCCCTCAAAGATGTCTGTGAAGGTAAGGAACACTTCTGAGGAATCCTTTTTTCATTTCTAAATTCTAACAGGAGTCATCTTTAAGGTATTTTTAAGGTGGCATTATTCCATTGTAAAATATTAAAACAGGCAATGAGCATCATCACTCACACAATAGCATAAACAAGAAGACCTCATTCAAGGTTATGATGTTTCTGATAGTTTTTGATTGGAAAGCAAAGGGTCTTTTTATTTTTACTCTGGGTTTGTTTTGGGTTTGTTTTTTGTTTAGTTTTTTTTTTTATTTTAAATTAAAGTCTAGCAACTCAGAACACTTGAAGATTTCTAAAAATAACAAGTGTAATTGAACCCCTTCAAGTGCAGTTTACCTAGTCATGTAGTACGCTAACATTACATCAGGAGGTTTTTTTATCTGCCTGCCCCCTCACAGTCTTACAGTCCAGGGTAAACAGGAAAGGGGGATAACAAAAATACAGGTCAGATTTAATAAGTGTGTAATCTGTGATGCTTTCCAGATATGTATCATATTTTTGTAAACACCCTGCTTCAAAAAAATATTTGTTAAATCCAGTCTTTCGCAAGGCTGAGGATTGGAACAAACAACTTGTATAACCTTAAAAAAGAGCTGAAAGCAATCATAAGAAATATCTGGTGTCCTTTTGGCCTATATCCCATTTCATATGGGTACTGGAACAATGTTCTATGCTTAAATAGTCTGAAAGAAGCAGAACTCAGCAGTTCTGGCAACATTTGCTTTTAAAAACACATGATGCTAATGAAAGGACCTTGCATAAGTCCTTCAGTTTGCACAATTGCAGATAAACCATTCAGAAAGGTTTTTTCCTGCTAAGCGAAGAATTTAAGAGAAACAAGTTTCACCTGTAGAGCTCAGCTTCCCCCCTCCCCTTAACTGTATTTAAAAAAAAATGTGTTAATTAGAGGGAAAATAATTATTCTTATTATGTAATGCTTGTTTTGTCTTTTAAGAGAACTTTGAAAGTAATATTAGCATTTCTTAAAAAAATCCTATTTAAAATGGATGGTTGAAAAATATATCAAGTTACAGTTTGGTTTAGTGAAGAGAGGAGCTGACACTCACCAGGATTTAGATTCCAGATTAAATTTGAAGAAGTGAAAATTATATTTCATATATTTATTCAGAATACTAGAACAACAATGTTAGTTGTATCCAGCTTCCTTAGTATTGAACTATTTCCAACTCTTAGTCACCATGCTGCTCATAAAGAATCTTACACTGTTCATCAATACCTTTCATTATTTTAGAGTTTTTAATTCATTTGGGCTAAAGGCTGAATAACACTTTCATCTAGTTTACATTTAGTAAAGCTAACTGTATTTTTATTTTTATAGATTACAATTTTACTGTGAAATACAGTATTGTAAATAAATGGTTTTGTTTAGCTTTCATCTCGCCCTTTCTTATGATGTACAGGAAAGCTTTTAAGGCTTTATACATTTTTTTTCTTTATACTGAGACATTAAATGGTAACAAATGGTGCAGATGTTTTTATGCCTTTTTAAAAATGTGATCATATGTACATAGCTGACAATTTCAGATTTTATTGGTTAACATTCAAAAAGTTAGAAATTCCAAAGTTCATTCCCTGCTTTGCACTTCTGTTTTACAGAATGTTTGATGTTGGAGGCCAGAGATCAGAGCGGAAGAAGTGGATTCATTGTTTTGAGGGTGTTACAGCAATTATTTTTTGTGTGGCATTGAGTGATTATGACTTGGTCTTGGCCGAAGATGAGGAAATGGCAAGTACTGTAATGTTGAAGAATGTCTTGGATAAACCTTAGTTCTTGCAAACTAAATTAGTTTGAAAGGAAAGCTAGAAATAAATCTTCTAGAGTATTACTGCTTTGTAAGATGTATGGGGTTTGTGTGAAAGGTCTCAGAGAAATGGTGATAAAATTCATGCTTTCAGGTTTCAAAGTCTTTCCTCATATTTTCAGAAGGAATACTGAGACAAGTACTCTTTTCAGCTGCACTCTTTCGTGTTTTAAAGGATGCATAAATTCATGAGGATAGATTACCAGTAGTATACATTTTAGTCTCTTTGTGGATGCTAGAAGTATCTAATAAGAAATTGCTTGACTTCTCTGTTTCTACTCTACCTTGTGTTTTGTTTTCTTTCCTCAGTCTTCAGGTTTTCTTTCTTTCTAAATGCGTTTCTGTGATTTCTTTCCTTAGTTGCAGAATTTTTTATTTTCCTTCTCCATTCCAGCTCCCTCTATTCTTTTACCCTCTTTCAGGGTGTGATTCCTCCATATCAGTATGCACAGAGTGGTCTAACCTGATGCTTAGTCTATAGTGTGTGAATCATTAACAGATTTCTGCAACTTCTTATAGAATATATTTTAGGGAGGAAAGGGAAAGGAAAAAATCCTTCCAAGTCAAATGTAGTCAAAGAAGGTCATAGCTAGGACCTTGCTTCTTAAATGACTGGAGCTTGGCCAAAGTACTTACATGTTGGTCAGTTTTTCTGAAGAGTTAAAAATTATGGTAAGAGATAAAATTCCTGCTCACTTCATTCTCTAGTCCTGTAGAACCATTTTTGGTTTCTCTTTTTCTTATGCTGGAATCTCAGATAGGTGCAGAATTTAATTTTCAGTATCCAGAACATGTAATCAGTGTAGGACAAGTTCAGGTAACTCAGCAAGTCTTGTAGAATCTCTGTACTCCAAAATGTCAAAACACACCAAAAATTCCTAAGACATTAAACAGCTTAAACCTGGAAATGAGAAGAAAGAAAAAAGGTTGATTAAACCCTGCGTGTGGAAGTGTTCTTTGTAGTGGTCTTGGCCTCTCTGTGTTTCCCTGTGGTAAAATGCGATTCTGTAGGCTAGAAACGTAGTTATTCAATGATATGTGTCCTGATCTTACTACTGAAGTCTGAAATGCGAGGTATTTCTTCCAATTACAGAATCGGATGCATGAAAGCATGAAATTGTTTGACAGTATCTGCAACAATAAGTGGTTCACAGACACTTCTATTATTCTCTTCCTGAACAAGAAAGATCTTTTTGAAGAAAAAATCAAAAGGAGTCCTCTCACTATTTGCTACCCTGAATATGCAGGTATTGGAGGGGGGATGCAGTAATTTTAGTTAAATTACCTCATTTTTGATGCACAAATCAAGGGGAACTTGATAACTCTAAAGTTTAGGTATCTAAAATACTTCAATGAAGTAAAGGTTAAGATGAAGAGGTTGTTTTTATGACCACAAATAAAATAGTGCTAAGTCAGAGGCATATTTTTAACTGGGTGAGATAATGCTGGTTCACTGATAGCATTTACATGAAACTGTTGCTACTCTTCAGATTAATTTATTTAGCCCATTCTTTTTTCTTATGTCCTCGTATTTTTGTACTTGGATGTAATTTTTCTTGCTAGCACAAATCCCTTAGGATACGTGAGAGTGTATTTCAACAGGGAGTGTACATGCATGTTAGAAGTAGGTGTCTTATTCAGGAAATATATAGCAAAAGAGGATTATTTCATTCAACAAGTCTTAGTTTTTTTAATGTATCATTTCATTGTAAATTCAGACTATTCCATTGTACTGAAAATAGCACATTGGAGGTAAAAAGCTTAGGGAGAAAGTGTATGCCAAATGTCTTTAATTGGATTTGGAAAAAACCCAAGGATTTTAAAAACATAAAAATTGAAAGCAAGTAACTTGAATGAAAGAAACAAAATATCCTAATCTAGGGAGCAGTGATGGGTCATTAATGATTTGTTTCATCGTCTGCTGAAGTAAATGGAAAGACTTTTCTTGCAGCTGGAATTGTTTCCTTAGTTCCTATTTTTAAAAATGTGTCCAGAAGGTTTCTTTCATAATTTATTTGTGGTATCTTAAAGCAATGGCTGTGGAACTATTCCCCTTCAGGTTTAGGTTAACTATTTCCAAATAGCCATTTCCTTCATAATTTATTTGTGGTATCTTAAAGCAATGGCTGTGGAACTATTCCCCTTCAGATTTAGGTTAACTATTTCCAAAGAGCCATTTCCTTCAAAGATTGCCTATGCATCTTGTTCCTTCTCAGTTTGTTTACTGAGCAATTTTTATCCTTCTAGGGTCAAACACTTATGAAGAAGCAGCTGCTTACATTCAATGTCAGTTTGAAGATCTTAACAAGAGGAAAGACACGAAGGAAATCTACACTCACTTCACATGTGCCACGGACACGAAAAATGTGCAGTTTGTTTTCGATGCTGTAACTGATGTCATTATTAAAAATAACCTTAAAGACTGTGGCCTCTTCTGAGAGCAGACAAAAGGTTGCTAAATGGTAAATTATATGCCTGGAAACAGGACTTAAGCATTTGGAATATGCCCATGCTGTATAACACCTGCATAGATATACTTAATTCTCTTTCATTTTATTTCTAGGTTTGGAGAACGACTTCGCACAATTCTAATCTGATTCTTTTCAAGGTGAAAGAAATGAAAATACATTGTGCTGAATGATAGATCAGTACTGTACTTGCCTGTTTTAACAGCTTTATTTATGTTTGTCTTGTAAATTTAAGTAATTAGTTAACACTGAGATGTCAGTTGATTGTATGTATACTTATAATTGTAGTAATGTATTTGTATAAACATTGAATGGAATATTTTAGTAACTTGATGTCCTCTAAACTTTCCATGTTTTATGAAGATACTCTTAGGGGAGACAGACCTTTTTGCCTTTGGATTATTTAAACATCTTGTAAAATTAAATTTTCTTTTCATCTTAAGGGTGCATGCTGCCTTATTCTTTACTTTTGTTGGTAATACTGTATATGGCGTTAGCTTTTTTGATATTTAAACAGCCTCATACACCTGCTCAGATTTAAAGAAACATAACCAATAAAAATTGTTTTTGCCTTAAGTTTTAGGGGGAAAAAAAATCTTTTATAAATTTAAGATAAATGCAAAGATTATTTTTTAAATCTAATCCATAGTTGATGAAATCTGAGCTTTTTGCAGTCTTTGCAGCACAAATGTGGCAACACTGAAATAAAATTTTAAGGTTCAACTATCATTGAAGCTGTTGGAAATGCAAAAAGGAAGTTGTTAAAACCATTCATATCAATAAAAAAAAGTTTGAAGCTGTGGTCTTTACTCAGTGAAGTGAATGGCAAAGTTACTTCTTTAAGTAGTTAACAAAGGCTGGACTTCAGAGTAATTTCTTTTTTCTGCTTAGCTTAAAAGTAAAATCATGTTCTCCTTAAATGTTTTGCTATTTTCTGGTAATAAACTAGTTTGATAATTTAATAACTGTAGAAGTATCAGATTCTCCTACAAGACATGGCACAGTGGCTTCACGGATTAAAGCTGTTTCCTGTTGCATATAGAAAGAATCATCAGTATTTTGGATAGGGTGTTCTATTGACTTGCAGATGCCGATTTTTTAATTTCCTCTTTAATTATAATTAAAGTCTCACAGTTTCTTTAAAAAGCTAAAATATATGATTTTCTTCTGATTTGGCTTTCATTATGTGTTCTGCTATATTAGGTACATATCATCCATTGCCTTATGGGTAGTGCCAAAACCGATTTTTTTTTAATACAAATTTTAAAATGAGTAAGCTCCTATTTGTAAATAAGTTCATGGATGGTTGTCTTAAATGTATGTCATCTAGAAAATACAAATGTACCAAACTTGGAAATATGATTTTCTATAATTGTTGAAATATTTCAGGCAGCTACAGTACACCATAGGCTCTTTGAGAAGTAAATAAGTCTTTGAACCTGTTGCTATTTTTCTATATTATCTTAACATTTATGTTCTTAATGTTCAGCTGAAATATTTAAGTCATTGTTCTGTCATTTAATTTTTGATTGTGTGTTTCATTTAGGCCTCAGCTTGACTAAAACTTATCTACACTTCTCATTCTTTAATGCTTCCTTTGTTAGGTACAGAGTTGCTAAATGTGTTTCAAATGAAAGATTAGAAAGGAGATAACTTATTACTGGAGTTTGTTAAATATATTCATACATTATGAGCTCTTTCAGCAGTTATGGTAAGCAATCTGTATATCCTGAGCTGCTTTTAGTTGTGCTTTATGGTTCTGGGTACATAATTGATTTTAAATCTCATTGAACTACTTTGTGGAAATTGTATTTACACCTACGTTCAAGTTGGTTTTTGTACTAAATGTAAAACGAGAATTGGGATTAATCAAATAAATCTAAATTTTGTGCCTTGCTTGAAAGAAATGTTTTTCATTAAATGTGCTGATGGAAATCCTTGCATCCATCTTGTGGAGGTAACTAGGTAGTAAAAAAGAGAAGATAAGAAGTCCAGAGAAAATTCAAAAACTATGCAAGAAATGGTGAAAATGAACATAAATTGATGATTATTGATGAATTCCTAAATATTTTATCTTGAGCATTGTTCCGAACACCTTCAACTGGAGAATATTTTGAATTTCATACATAGTGTTTTCTGAAGTATTTACATCTTAACACAGAATAAAATTATGAAATACTTCTGTTTGCTAGTCCAGGCAAATAAGCTTGTGTTTTCTGATGAGCAGACAGCAGGTATGTTTCCTTATAGATCCAGAAGTTGTTGAGCAGTTCTATTTTAATATTAATTTGCTTGGGCTCAGGCATAATTCAGACTATTTTTTAAAGTGCAGTCAGTGGGTTGAGCTCCAAATGGGATAGTGTGATGCTATACCATTTTTGATCATACTCCCTTCTGGATTTTAGGAAGGGAAAGTTGAGCCTGCAGTGTAGACCTGTAGTCCTGTAGAAGAGCTATATTCCTGTAGTGCAATGCCTCGCTTCTGAAAGGAATCTCAGAGCAGCTGTTAGAGAAGAAAGATGTATATATGCAAGAATGTACTGATCAGAATGTGCTGTTTGACTTTGTTTTGCAATGGAACAAAAGAGGGTAAGACCAGATATGCTGGCAGCTTCATAGAATTAGCTGTTCCCAGCTACCCTTCTTTATTCTCCTTTTCTGTCCTCCCACTGATAGAGAAGTTTGGGAAGTGGCGTTGTCACTGAGCTTTCCCACTCACAGGTTGTGCCATTGTGTAGACATCCCAGGAATGGGTGCCTTGAATTCTGTGGAATATGCTGATCTTTAATTTCTTTTGCAGATAACATACAGATGTCTGTATGTAATGTTATATTATTGTTACAGTAATGTAAGAATATGCAGACTGAATAGAGAATAAATAAGTGTACTTAAACCTGCATGTGTTTATATTAACAAGCATGAAGAAAATCTAGGAAACCAGGAACTTGAGCAGGTAAAGATTTTCAGTTATGTAGCTTATAGTTCAAGTGATACAGTCTTATCAGAAGTCCTTACACACAAAGAATATCTCAAATACCTCTTGCAAATAAGTGTCCTCATTTCTACAAAATCAAAGTGTACTTTGAGACTGTACAGTACAAATGGCTGAGAGGGAAATGCATTTCAAATAGGTATCAGGATACTTGCAGGAGGATTTGGCCACTTGTCAAATTACAGCAGTGGTTATCTAAACTAAAACACCAGTTTTACATATAAACTTGAAGGTGAAATAATTTACCTCAGGAACTATAATATCTTACTGTGACAAAAATATGCTGAGTCACAAATAGTCACAAATTCTTACTCTTCCTCTCTTCCAATAAACAGTGTGATAAATCACCTGTGAAATCTGTTCTAAAAACCCTGTGAAACTAAGGCATCTTGAGAATTGCATAGTTTTGATTGAAAACACTTGTCCAGTATTTGGTCATGACTTTTTTTTTCATAGATTAAAATAAAGATATAGCTATTCCTGTTTCATTCCATAAATTACAAACTTAAAATACTTAGTCTAATGTTTGTTATTAGGTCAAGTATAATTTTCCAATGAGAACAGTATTAACCTTCACTTTGTGTCTTTTGCCAAAATTTGTATTTCATTAATAATAATTATTGGTGTATTTATTAAATAAAAATCAGAAGTCATCAGATGCATAATTTAGAATGTAAAACTGGACACTAACAAACAGAAAAAGCATATCCAAATTACAGTCAGTGGCTGATTGTAGCAGTCTTACTTGAACACGTCCAGGATGTGATTTTGTCCTGTGTATTATATCTTAAGGTACCTGTAATATGTCAGCAAGGATAGTTCATCACATCTAATTTTTAATTATGATCTTTTTGCTATTTTTAATCTTTAACAAAAAATGTGTTTAATCCTTCATACTTCTGGAAATGTTACTGTAAAGAAAGTAATTTATTAGATACTGCACATGGAGATGAGTATATGTAATCAAATTCTGAAGTTGCTTATGGATTCTGCCAGTGTCTTTCATTCCCAGGTTATATTGGCTTGGCTTACAAGTTGTTAGTTTGCCTTGGTTTTCTACTTGTAAATTAATTCCTTATACAGTTCTTGGTCTTTGTCCTTCTGTCTCTATTTAAGGGATGGAAGGAAGTCATAAACCATATCATCTACTGAGGAAAAAAGAACATTTTCAAGACATTTGTAGTCAGTCAGGCATATGAGACTGATGTTCTGGGAAAGATTTAAAGAAGATGCTCCATGATGAACTTCACAGCTGTGTATAGCATTTGAAGAAGCAACTTTGGGAGAGTCACGTGGCATAGAGTTGTTTTTTGGCAAGTTCTTGTATGTCTTCGGAGTTTTTTGAGCTCTAATTGTGAGGCGATATAATGAGGTATGTGCAGTTGCTCAGCTCCTTAGCCTTTCACCAGGTGAGGCTGTTAGACGTCTGTTTATTGAAGGCACAGGCAGCCTGATCTTACAAATACTGAGGAAAAGGGTTGTGAGCTACTCAGCAAAAAGAAACATGCAAAAGGCATCCAGCTTCTGGAGAGAGTGAGACTCCCCAGAGAGATGGAGGGGGAGGGAGGTGGCTGCTCTTCTGATGTCTGTTAACTTTGTGTTTGAATGCTCTGAGGGTTTAATACAGTTTCACAAGAAGAGATTATGTATTTTTGGATGCCGCTAGGAGAAAGTTGTTGGTATATTGTACACTTAACCTTGAAACATCTTGTCCTATCCAGATTCTCAGCCTTTGAAGATCTATATTCCTGTAGTTAAAAGCTATGCCAGAAAGACTAAAATGCTGATACAGCTGCAGAGGAAGAGTTTGCTTCTCTTGAAAGAGCTTTTTCTTCAAAACCAGAATTTTTAGTATTGTAGAGTCTCAAAGATGATCTAAAAGATAAATCCTGAAGCTGTTAAATGAGTTTTATTAGTGTGTAAAATATTAAAGAGCAGAGATGGGGACAAGCTATTTCATTTCACTTAATATTTTTTCTCCCAGTAAATCTGTGAAAGGAAGATTAATAGAGCAGTCGGAGTGCTCTGTGAGCTGTTCTGAAATACAGTGCTTCCATAGGCTGTAACAGAGGCAGAATGAAGCATTTTTATATTCTGTGGAAATTGCAGCAAAGAACTGATAGTTCTTCCTCATAGCTGTAGTGGTTTAATCTGGTACATTGACAGTTGACATCCCTGATGAAGAGGAAAGAAGTATCAATGATACAGAACCCTGAACTACCAGAGTACAAGTGTTACGGTCCTTTGAGGCCAGAGTGTGATGACTGCTGTAGAAGGGCTCTTTAGATAAACTGACTTTCAGTTACAGCTTTGAAAGGAG